TTCAGTTAATACCATAAACATTTATGAGTGCGTTTGTTTTACTTTTTTGAATAGTAAATAGAATATTATCCAACGAAATAGGATAGGATCATGAGAATATGTTCTACTTTTTTTAATAGTAAAAAGAATACTATTCAACGAAATAGGATAGGATTATGAGAATATGTTCTGGGAAATATTTTCTAAAATATTTAGATTCTTTTTAACCATTTATATTTGTTAATTTAACTAAATACTTTCACAATAAAAGTTTATAAATTAACAAAAACACCCTCACCTATCAAACTCTTGCAGGCAGTCGGCCACCACCTCTGGGCAATGGTTGAAAGTAGTCAGAATGGTGTACGACCGATTGGATCTGACTGATCGTACACAGATTTGACCTTTTCCAGTTAGATCTACCATGGATGTTGACGAAAACAACCAGATCTATGGCCAAAGATTTGCCGTTGACAACAGCCATATCTTGGCCATCAACGGTCAGATCTTTGGCTGTAGATCTAACCGGAAACAGACAAATCGGCGCACGACCGACCAAATCCAGCCGGTCGTGCGTTGTTACAACATCGGCGTCCAGCGGTGGCAGTAGGGTAGTTGTTGGTGGGTGATAGTGGCTTGGGATCAGTGAGGGTGTTTTTGTTAATTTATATGCTTTTGTTGAGAAAAATAATTGTTAAATGTTTTGAGTTAAATAAAATATGATTGGATTTTGAGTTGAATAGAAAAATAACTATTCTATTGGATTGGATAAGATATTAGAGCATCTCCAATACTGCTCTTTATTTTGAAGAACATCTTTCATATAAATAAAGGACATCTTCATTAATTTTTAAATATAAAGAACACAATTTTTATTCAAATCCAATAGACTCTTTAAATTTAATGAAGATGCTCTTTATTTTTAAGAAAGAAACTTAATGGGAGAGAGAATTAATAAATAAAATGCATAGGAACTTGTAGTTTATTAATTAAAATTAGGATAGAGAGTGAAATTTGACTCTCTGAAGAACTAAACTCACTCTCTAATTTATATTTTAAAGATAAAGAGTATGTTGGATTCTTGTTTTTATGGATAAACTCTTTATAATAAAGAGTTTGAGTCATATAAAGAGTCCTTTGGAGATGCTCTTAGGATAGGATAATGAAAAAAAAATTAAAACAAACGCAGCCTGTATTACTCATCCTAAAATTTATTATAAATTTCACACCACTGTAAGCATATAGATATTTAGGATAAGTTAGACCATCTCCAACCCATTGCACCAATTTGGTGCAAAATTGCACCAAATTGGTGCAAATTTTGGTGCAAAATACTATTCCATCTCCAATCCACAACATCAAATATTACACCAAAAAGAATATTCTTTAGAATATTTTTTTTTTCTTTATTGTAATAATCAACAATTAATCTATTTCACTCATTATTTTTGTATATATTAATTAAATATTGGGAATGATATTTTTATTAAATAATAATTATTTNTAAATAACTCTGAAATTTTTATAATTGTATGTATTACCAATGGACTAGTAGGATAATACACACTAGAAAGTTATAAAGTGGATTGGTAAAAAATTTTAAGAAAATAATGAAATATTTTAGCTATATGCCAATCATTTTCTATCAAATAATGAGGACCTCTATTATTTGCTACAAAATAACTAATTAAATTTGCATAAGGTAAACATGAATTAAGCATTAAATAAGTACTATTCCATCTAACAGCCATATCTAATATAAAAGTTCTAAGAGACGTATTTGATTTTATACAAGCATCTTGAAATTCAGCATTTCTTTTATTACTACTAGTAATCCAAGCTAAAGAATCTCTAATTCTATCAATATTATCTCTAATTGTTTTTATACCACTTTTCACAATTAAATTAATAATGTGACATGCACAACATTGGTGAAAAAACTTCAAATTGTTATAAAAAGGATAATTAATTTTAAAAAAATATATAGTTATACTATTAACACTTGCATTATCTAAAATTAAACTTATCACTTTATCACTAACATTATAATCTTCTAAAACTTCAACAATTTTATTATAAATTTGTTGACCACTATGATCCACATGCATTAATCTAAATCCTAATAAAGATTTATTTAATTTACATTTGTTATCAAAATAATGACTAGTCACACAAATATAATCTTGTTTAACTCTACCACTCCAAATATCGGCAGTTAGAACCACACTAACATGACAACTATGTATTTTATTTTTTTAATTCTAATTTCATTTTCCCAAATAATTTTATTAAATCATTTCTAGTTGCAGTTTTAGAATAACTTTTAAATCCTGGAAAAAATGAATTTTTAATAAATCTTTCAAAATATTTATCTTCAGCCATATTAATAGGTAGATCAGTTGCGACAATATATAAAGCTAATTGTTCCATATATACATTAGAATTATAACGTCAAGTAGTACCCATATTAGTTATTTGAGTTTGATTGGTTTCTCTATTTCCATGTTGAGCAATATATTTATTAGCATGCCTTTTTAAAGTACTAGTACCATTACCTGAATCAGCCTTATAAATATTTTCACAATACTTGCATCTTGCTTTCTTCACTTAAACTCCATTTTCTGTCTTATAAAACTTATCGAAATGCACCCAAACGTCTGATGTGTCTGTCGTCATTTTTGCAACAGTTGATGAACCCGCTTCTGCTTGAGATAAAGTTAGACAAGGACGACTTCTAGAACCACTGGGAGCTGTAGCAGCATGAGGAGGAATCGAGGGTATATTTTGAGGTGTATCAGATTCTGAGACTAGGAAAGCGAGACTATTTGAATCTACTGCATTTATGTTAGTAAATTTAGCGGGACTAGGATAGTAGTTTCCTTCATCATCGAAATTGATGGGAGAGAAATATCTATCCATTGTAGTTAAAAAAAAAAATTTGATATAGGAGAAATAAAAATTAAAGAATTGAAAATTGCAAAAACTAATAGAAATTAAAATGAGAGCAAATTCACAACAAAGAGAATAATTGAGAGATTTCAATAAAGATTAGGGATTACAGAAAATGAGAGAATTTGGGATGTGAGAAAATATGAGAATTTAGGGCCAATTTATAGAAAAAAAATGGGAAAAAATTACTAAAAAGACCCCTCCAACTGCTATAAAACGGATATATTTCAAGGGTAAAAGGGGTATTTGAAAAAACTAAATTTTTTTTTTTTTTTTGGGCCAACCCGGCAGGTTGAAATTTTCAACCCGCTGGGTTGGTAGGTTCTTTCTAAAAAAACAAATTAGCAACCCGCTAGGTCGCTGGCTTGCCATATATCAACCTAGCCCGCCCGAGGGTTGCATGCGGGTCGGGTTCAGTGACCAGATCAACGGCCAGATCTTTGACCATAGATCTAGTCGAAAACAGATAGATCAGTGCACAAATGGCCAGATATAGCCGGTTATGCGTTGTTACGGCGTCGACGTCCAACTGTAGGGTGGCTGCTGGTGGGTGATAGTGGCTTGAGATGGGTGGGGATGTTTTTGTTAATTTATATACTTTTATTGAGAAAAATAATTGTTAAATGTTTTAAGTTGAATAAAATAGAATTAGATTTTGAGTTGAATAGAAAAATAACTATTTTATTGGATTGGATAAGATATTAGGATAGGATAATGAAAAAAAAATAAAACAAACGCAGCCATATTACTCATCCTAAAATCTATCATAAATTTCACATCACTGTAAGCTTATAGATATTTAGGATAAGTTATGGAATGAGTAACATTACACTCTTGGTTGGTCAGGTTGGGTGATAAAGATTTTTTAGTATACTATTCAAAATGTCTTGAGTTTGATTTTCCTTTCTTACTAATAGGACCGGATGGCCACTAGAGGGTTTATCCGGTTGTTAACTTCAAAATCTCAGAAGATTAACCCAGCTACACACAAGTTGGCCCGGATACAAAGAATCAGATAACTAATTACTCTAAAATCGTTTAAAATGCAAAACTAAGAATGTAATTTTTAATAAAAATTATTTCGTCCCTATAAATTCGGTTTTTCGCCTTGCCCCCTAAGTTATGAAATCTACACTTTGACTCCATAGATGTAACTTCCTATTCTAACCCCTTCATTCATTGGGCAATGAGCATTACAGTTGGCCGCCAGTATTAATTTTGTGTTTCTACCCCTGCACATGCCACAAGATCAGGTTGGCTCTTTATGATCTCATCAATTTCAAATTAGGTACAGCTACCATTGAACAAACACAAACAAATTATTTTCATGGCTTTGATTATATATTTTGCAAATATTGAACCATGCATTTTTTTTCAATTTATTTTGGACAAAATCTTGAACTTTATGACTTTACTAGTTGAGGAGTCAATTAACTCGGCCTAATTTAATTAAATCTAACTTCTAATCTTATTGACAAATAAAAATAAAATATGGCCTCCCATTACATAAATATCAAAGTGATAGCGAATGAGTGAGGCCAATTCTTGACTTCCACACAAGTAAAGCCAAAGAGTAAGAGCTTATGTAAACGTGGAGATTGATAGCTCAGATCTTAGTCAGCATTAAAACCTATCAACCACTAATAAAAAGCCACACCTTCTTCTTCATTCATTCAATCAAACCAACTTGTCGCTTTTTCAGCCTCAACGCCCACACTAACAAACAAACTAAACCACCCTCATGGACCCCTAACCCTAACCCTAAGCCTAAACTCTCCTCCTCCTCTTGGCACCACTTTTTTGTTTGCTTAGAATCAAATTTAACTGACTGATAATGGTCTTAACAGTTTAATGCATTGGTTAAGGAAATGATTTTGAAGCCACCAAGTTGGAATTTCTGTTGGGTAATTACTATTAGTCAAAATCAAAGAGATTAAATTAGTGTAATGAAAAAGACCACCACTTAGTATGAGAAAATAGGAAGAGATATGCATTGACTGAGTTTAAGTATTCAAATCCAAGTGCAGGCTGCAGGCAGCTTCATAGAGATAAGGCACAAGACATAAAACAAATAAAAAAAACAAAAGGATGGATTGATTTCTCTCATTTTCCTCCAAATTACAATTACAAAGGAAGGATTAAAATAACAAAGCGGGAACATCATGATATTACAAATTTTTCCATGAAACCTCCCATTGACTCTCAACCTTTTCTCTATATACAAAAACCTGACAAGGGAAAGTTACAGGTTCTTTTGCCTTTCTTCTTTCCCTTTTATTCTTCAAAATTAATATTCTCATAACACCTTCATTACATCCACAAATATTATGAGAAGATTTGATGAAACCAAAAGGAAAAAAAAAAATATTACTTAAACAATAACACCCCATTTGACTTAAGACTTGTATATACAGCAAATAGTAAGTATTAATTAAACAACTACTACCCATTTTGATCCTCCTCTCCTCCACCAAAATTTGCTACAAAATGTCCCATTTTTCTCATCTGGGTTTGTTTGTCATATGATGAGTTCAACGGTTTATGCCACCGCTGAGATGCTGCGGTTGCGGCGGCGATCTCGGCTCAAACAATCAAACCCTTCGATCCTCACAGCAGCAGGTTTGTGGCCAAACTTCATCCTTGCACATCCACCTCCCATTCGTGAGGATGGAGATGGAGGTGCTGGCAATGGCAAAGGGACAGTGATCTTCTCAATCCCGAATTGAGCATCCTGGATTAAAGGATTTGAAGTTCTAGTAGGTGGTGATCCGGTAAAAAATGGTGGTGGCGATGAAGCCACCTGATTATCAGATCTTTCTGTCCCATAACTTCCCTGTAACCATTAACAAAAGAGCACCAAATTTAGATTACATTTATTATTAGAACCGATCAATTGATACGTGTTATTTATCACTAAAACTGCCTTCAAATTAGCAGAACAAAACCAATTTATCCTAGTTTTAAAGTTTCAAACTTTAGGTTGCTTTAATGTTAAAATGCAAAAAAAAAAAAAAAAAATAGAATATTAAATTCAAATTTCCTTCAACAAATCAAAGTCTACGACAAGTGTAAACTAAAAGAAATTAAAAAAAAAAAAAAAATTCATAAAAATTCAACAAGAGAAGAGAAGGACCTTAGTGAGAATTATATCCAGTAGTTCAGTCCCTGCTTTAGAATCGCCAATCTCACTTTGGTGACTGATTTAGAAGGAAAAAAATAAAACAGAAAATTAGACTAACACTTTACAAACAGGCTTCATACAGTAGCGGAAAAAAAAATAGATAGAAAATAAAAACACATACTTTGCAGGCCATCTCAGATGTCTGATAGGATCGTTAATGGCTGGCTTTAAGAGGCCTAATCTACGAGGTTTAGGGCAAACCACCGAATCAAAACTCCTCTCCTCCTCATAGACTCCTCCTCCCATGGCGTTCCTCTGATATGCACAAATGTTCATTTTCTCTTTAATTAATCAAAGATCAGAACACCAACGCCTGCACATACACGCATCATAAACACTATTAGTTCAGCTAAATGAACACTGTAACATCACATCAAAGATGTATGAAAACTAAAGTTTTGATTTTAGTTATTTTTTGTCTTTAAAATGAAACAAACAAAAAAAAAAGGCTTTGTCGTCTCCGAGAAACACAAACAAAACTACTTGCTTAAATAAAACAAAGTTATTTTCTTTTTGGGTCGAAGGAAAGAAAATTAAGATCTGACACTCACATAAAGTGAAGCTCAATTCTTTCCAAAGAAGTTTTAATTTTTCTCCTTTGAAACCAAAAATTAGAGAAAACCCATAAATTTGAAAAAAAAAAAAAAACCTTCATATGTTCCTTTTCGCACTTTTCCCACGGTTTTTCCAGGGAAACAACCAGAAAATAAACGAAACTGAGATCTGAAACAACCGTAAAAGTTCAATTATTACCAAACAAGTCAAAAATTTTCCCCCGTAAAACGAAAAAACAGAGAAAATCCACGAAGAAAAAAGCTAAAAAAAATTCATTTTCGCTCAGTTCTCAAGGTTTCTCGGGAGCCAAGCAGAAACTAAGATCTCAAGCAAGTGTTGGGATAACACAAAACCTAAGAGTAGACTAACTATTACCAGATAAGCTAAGAGAGATGCAGTACTTTAAACGAAAGAGAAAAACAGAGAAACCCCATAAAAGAAAAAAGCTTTTAATACATGTCTTTTATTCCTTAGTTTGAATGGTTCTTTCACAGATCTACACGTAAAAAACAACTAAAAAAAACAGAAGAAAAGAGAGAGAGCTTAGACCTTAGCTGCCTCCACAGAGGAGGAGGGTTTCAAGGAGGAAAAATAGAGAGAATTTAGAACAAATCCGAGAGCAAAGATGAGATTTTTGTGGGAGAAGAGGGAGAGAAAGAGAAAGAATCGATCAGAGGGATGGGTTGGCTTTAAAATGAACCAAAAGACTACAACGATGTGTGACTCAGTAGACTTGGGTGCGGTCGAGTTTCATTTAAGAATTATGAGACCGGTATTTTTCACCGTTGGATCAGTCAAATCATTGACTGTTATCGAACGGAAAGCGTGTTCTTTAGATGCTCTGTTACATCAACTTTATTCGCTGTTGTGAAGATAAGATTTTATCCACGCACGCATGTGTCATTTTTTGATATTGTTAAATCCGTGTAATTAATATTTTTTTACTTAATATCCATTACCCCATTCTCCTTCCATAGTCCCAATAGATTATTTTGCTATAGAAATATTATTAAATAACTTATATATTACAAGACAAATATTTATATTTATAATTATAATATATTTCTCATTCAAGTTTATTATAATTAATTAATTATATAAATAATGTAATTATTAGTATAAATATTTAATAATAAATATTATTGAAATTAAAATAACATTATAAAATAAATATAAAATTTTTTAAGGTGTAATATATGTTTCATTTAGTATAGACAATTATAACTAGTTATCTTTTACTTTTATACAATTTTTTTACTTTATTTAATAATTAATCTAAAATGATATGACTATTCAATATTTTAAAAATAAATATTAAATTACATTACATTAATCCAATCCCACTCCAATCCAATCTGTTCCTATCCCAAAAAGCGAGGTCAATCCAATCCAATCCAGTCCAATTCTGTCTCCCGAAGGTACCCTAGTGTGTTATGGAATTTCTTCCAAAGTATTTATCCCCATTTAAATTTTATATGTAATAGTTTATAAGAAATATACTTAAAGTATTATTTAGCACATTGATTATTTCATCATTGTAATTTTACATAGGGAGGGCACCAGGAGTTTAAGAAAGATTGAATTTTTGTTTGCCTTCAATTACAAAGAACAAAGACATTTAGTTAGTTGATAACCAAATTTGCATAAATTTGTACTATTTTCATTAATTATTTAGTTTTATCATTGTTATAATTACTCGAAGACGTTTGAAACCAAGTGAATCTTATGATAAATTCGAGTTATTACATATAAAAGATTATTTATCAATTGTAAATAATGTCTATTTAAATTTTAAAATTCAGTGGAAATTTTTAGTTTATTGTTTGACTTTTTATTTGAAGTATAATTGGGGTTATTATAACGTATCAAGAGAAGACAAAAAATTTAGAGTTAGTTGAAAATGAAATCCAAGTTTAAACAAAGACTTTTCTAGTTCCAGTGTAACGAGGTAAATACAAACAACCATTGGTTAAGCTCCTCGACAAAGTTCAACTTGTCCAAGCTAGTTTAGAGTTCCCATCAAGATTCTCCTATATTATTTTGTCTTATTTTTTCACTGAATCAGTTTTTTTTTTTTTTTTTTTTTTTAATTACATATATATAATAGATAATTTCATCCACTATTTGAGAGATTGATAAGTTTAAGTGTTTCAAAGATTTGCGAAAATTATTAAAAACTCATATATATAAATAATTAATTCAAAGTATTTAATATTTTTCAAAAATTGCTAGAACAATTGGAATTACTCTCAAGATTGATAAAATTAAAAATTCAAAGGTTTGGATAGTTTATATGCACCTTAATAAATCTCTCAGGACTCTGGAACTACAGACCAGATAAGAGTTTCATTAGCTACCGCTATTAATAATTAAAGAGGGATTCGAATTCAAAATCTTTTGAGTAATACACCCAAGGATTAAGAGTCCCGAACAACTCAACCATCCAAAAATAGTTATATATATAATATAATATTTGATATATTACTATATATATATATATATTCTTTTATTTTCAATGGAATACAATAACCAACATACATATTATAGCATTATGAATTCATTGAATGTGCTGCCTTATCTTCCAACAATATCACCCTACGAAAGATCTGCATTGAAGGGATGGATTCCATGGAAAAAGATGTTTCCATTAAGTCAAGAGATTAAGAATCATGTGGTGCAAACATCAATAAATTATTTGCCCATTTTATCATCATGGAAACTTTGGATCCCGTTACCATATATATATATATACTATAAGAATTTATTAAATAAAAGTTTAATTTTCGTAAAATACTTTTATTATTAAATAAAAGTTTTATCCTCGTAAATACAGTATCATGAAATGGGCTGGTGGGCCATTATCTTAATATTAAGAATAATACTATATTTACCGACCCAAATACTGATTTTTATACACCGACTCACTATCCAACAACCCAAATCTGAAAATTTAACTCAAATCGGTATGTAAAATCTGTGGCTGAGTCGGTAAGCCTAGCATCACTGTAATATTAATTTAAAGATTCCACATAATACACAGAGGAATATATCATTGATAACAACTTTCCAAGGGAGCGTATTTTGTAGACAAAGCCAACGGGCGTCCGTCCATGATTCCTTTTCCAAATTTCGTAAAGACAAAACAGAATTTGCATGGGGACAACCAAATTTATGTGGACCCCTTTCTTTTTTCTTCTTTTCTTTATTTTAAAATTTCTTCTTGGCTTTGTCTCATTGGGTAACGTCACATTGCACCCAATGCCCACACGTCTGTTATATTTAATATTAGCCCAAATAAATCAAACCTAATTTTCTGTAGTGATAATTATGTTTATATCATTTAAATTTTATTAATCCCGAAAGTTAAGGGCCCCTATGTCTTAAAACAGAAGGTTGGGGTACATAAGTGAGATTAACCTTTTTTTTTTTTTTGAAATTAATTGGTCATTTTCCAATTTCCACAGCTAACAGAGAGCGTGGAATCACGGCATGTGAAAGAGAGTGGGAGGGAATAGGGGAAATGGGGATGGAGCACAGGCTGACTTGAGTAGAGAGAGTTCGTATAAAGTAACTGTGTGTTGTCGTGTTGTTTAACGACAGACAAATCATTTACGTATATTGATTGCTGCTGTTTCTATCCTTTGCATATTATATCACCTAAAATTGCGGATCTTGTAGTGGTGCTTCAATCCTATGTAATATTAATACAATATACATAACAATGAAAATTTATAAGGATAAATCTCAAATTATTTGATTTTGTATATATTTAATCATTAAAAAAATTAAATTTAGATTCATATGTTAAAAAGAAAAAAAAAAACATATTTAAACATATTTCTATCTAATTTTGTCACACATTTTAGTTAAATTTAGACATATTTTTATTCTTTTAGTTTGTATAAGTATATTAGATTATTTTGTTTCATATTTAAGAAATTTGAGGTCGTTATCGCTCTTCCATACACACACATAACAACAACAACAATAATAAAAATAATAATAAAATCAGTATACTCTTAAGACAATACCACTTAATATCAATACATTTGTTTAAACAATTATTTTATATATATATATATATATATACACACACATTGTATCAACCTATATAAAGACATTGTTGTGTATTGTATGTACATCTTTGAAATACAATATTCATACATTCATAATCATAGATATTTTATTTTTTATTTTTTATTTTTATTACTGTGACATTATAATATAATAATTTAAATGATTTATCTAACAGAATTGTTTTTTTAACCAAAATAAAGAGAGTTGGACTTTAGCAAGAATGTTAGTAAGAGAAAAGTAAAATATTTTGTTCTTGTGGTATCTTTATGAGACAAAATAAAAATAAAACATACTAGAGTTGATTGGAACAAATCAATACCTATTTGATCTAATTAAGAGGTTGAGCAATGTTTTAATTTAATAAAATAAAAAAATAAAAAAAAATTTATAATTTAATAAATCATATATATAATAAATTGTTTTTATAATTCTCTACTTTAATATTCTTGAAAGGAGTTCAAGAAAATGCTAAGCTGAAGGTGTCCTACCCAATACCAATAAAATTTTCTTGTACGAATTTGGGCCTTGAATTTAGTGATTTCAATTATCAACTCATCAAGGCCCAATCCATAATTTTATGTTTTATTTTAAGCAATTTTCGATCCCAAATCTTGATTAATATTCTTTTTTAATATGTGTACTTATATTCACATGTATGAAATTCAGATAACATAAAATACAAATTGGATTCTCCATTATAACTTATTATTTACTAAAATAAAATACTTTAGATAATTGTTAAATCAATAAAAGTGGTTTCAACACATGTTATTAAGGCCAATATATATCTTTTTTTTTTTTTTTTTTTTTTAATGACCGGAGGTGTTTGAATTAACTTACGTGCATTTCAACTAATCTTTTGGAACTCTGAAATTACCAGTCAGATAAAAACTCCAATAACTACCCTTATTAACAACCGATGAGAGACTTGAACTCATGATCTCTTGAATAACGCCTAAAAGTTTTTATTGAATCACTCGATCACCCAAAGACTGTTAATTAAAGTCAATATTAACAAAGTGATAGTATATAAATAGTTTTTTGATTCTTAAAGTATAAATTAAAAAAAAAAAAAAGATTATTACATCATTCTTGCAATTGGAATGTCCCTACTTCAAATGTGTGAAGCTTCAGCTTCTTCTGTGAAACACTGAAATAATCTCCTCCAACTGTAAAGGAATCAGATCGAGAATCTAAAGAATCAATGAAAGTGACTGCCAAGCACTTACTGTTAAAAAAAAAAATAAAGATATGATCTGATCTATCACATCGCATATATAGAATGAAAACTTATACCTTCTACAGAGTCTACATACACCTTAAAGGGGAATTTTTTTTTTTTTTCATTTATTTTGATGTAATTTCAATTCCCAAACGAAGTGGGTCACCCTCTTTTTTATTCCACTGCATGAGTCGTAGCAGCTTTGCTTTCTCTTCTCTTCTCTTCTCTTCTTTTAATTACAGGTAAACCCTAATACAAAAAATATAATAAAGCTATCTATTAAAGCAAACTAAAGCTACCTTTGTCTCCATCTTCGTGTTCTTTGCTTTGTCCCTCCTCTTTCACTTTCATTGTTCATCCTCAAACCCTACACCACACCATCTTTTCTCTTTCATCGATCGATATCTCCAAATTCCATGTCACTCACATGTAGCCACTTTGATTTGTAGGCCCCTCTCTATATATATTTCCACAAAGAAGAAAAAAGTCGAAGACGGGATAGACATATGAACACAGTCTTATAGATGACGCGATAAGTCCGTTTATTTTTTTTATGTATAATACTGTATATACAAAAAGAAAAGTGTTAGGTGCTTAGGATATTCAATATATCGAGAAATGCACGTTCATGGTCTAGTCATCAAGCAATAGTTGTAATGTGTAAAAGTGGGTCAATGTGCTGGGAAGAAAAGTGGAGAGGAATCTCTTTGTAATTTGCCTTCCATAACACTCACTTTGCTCATCTTCTCTTCACACCAATGCAACTGTTCTTCACTTAAATCATTCATTCTCAAAACCCTAGACACCACTTTCAAGTCTATTAAACCCATCAAAATCTCCACCTCTTCATCCACCGTCAGCTTCCTCTTCCTCAGGCATTTACGCGACCGCCGCAGATCTTTCAGCTTCGTCTTCTTCTGCTCATCGTCAATAAAATTAGATAAATAATTGAATAAAAGAATGTTAATTTAAAGGTTTTTAATTAAATAAGTAGAACAATTTAATATAAGTACTTACTTTCTTATTGACTTTCTTCATGAGTTGAAGAAGAGTTGGATCAACTGAGCCTCTTCGATTTCTGCCAAAGAATGACTTGAGAATTTGACAGGCTTTCACTTTATCCGCCTTGAGAAAATTCATGAACGTTCTGATTCCTTCTTCCATTATTATAATAAATGCAGGCGATGAAATTCTTGAGGCAAAACCTTCATCCTTTGATTGATCGTCTTCAGAATCTTCAAACATAAAATTAAAAAACCATTACTTTAAATATTCAGTACAACAATAAAATAATTTTAATAAAAGAACAAAAAAGTACCTCGATATTCCGGAACTAGAAGTAACTTTGGAGCCAAAAGCCTCATCCTAGCATATACCTCAGGTCTTCGTCCCTGTTCATAGGGCTCGTTTTCTATGTATCGCTGCAAAAGAACCTGAAATTGCTGAAACTGCTGCGCAATGTGGGCGGGACAACCCGGGTCAAAGTCTCGCCGTGAAGCTCTCTTGCATTGAAAGTTCTTATAGTTCCAATTTAGAGCCTCCCACGTCAGGCAAATCTGAGCTACATAAGCAGCTTCCAGTTCATGATATGGGTTATGACGTATGTTTGATGGCTTCTTGTTTATTGTTGCAAACTTTTGAACAATCCTGTCCGAAATTGACCTTGGACAGACTTGGATAGATCTCAGGGACTCTGAGAAAATGTGAAAAATAATTTAGATTAAGAGAATAACACTACAAGAAAATACATCTTTTGTATAAGAAGGATTTTGTTGTAAATCTGTTGCCAAAAAGAACCTTTTTCATCGTATTTACAACCAAATTAACTGATACTAAAACTAGCGTTGCAAAAGATATGTAACAGAAATTTTAACCTGTTTCATGGAGCTTTTGTGCGCTAACTCTGTCGAGGAACATCATTTCTTCATCATATTTCTGAAAAACTGTATAGGACTCCCACTTGGGGCAACTCCTTCTGGAGGAAGAAGAAAATGGATCTTCTGTTCCTGAATCTCTGCAATTGATTGAGCTCCTCCATTCTGATGAGCTCTTGGAAGTAGACCCAACAGTACACGAGTCACCAAAGATCTCTTCATCAATATCCTTTTCTTGAACTTGAAGCTTCCTGGAATCCAACTGGGTTCTTGCAAAAATGACAAAATTTTCATCTCCTGGAAAGTTTTTCTCCTCCTTCTTGATCTCAGTTTCTTGATGGAAACAAGTTTCTGCAACTGCATAAGCAATATCAGGATCGAATAAATTATTATCACAAGTACAACATGTGACTATCATAAAAAAACAAACAGTGATGTTAGCAAAAATGCTTATACCGTCACAGTTTTGGTCATTTCCCACAAAATCACTTTTGGAAATTGGGGTGGTGGAGCCACCGTGATTTGGAACAGAATTGTACGCTGAATTAGAATCCGTTGGTGGGATCTCTTCTTGTTCTTCAAGCTGATCATAATCATCATCTTCATGTTCAGATTCTGAGCATGGTGATGAGTCCCGAGCTGAATATTGACTACTGTCAAAACTTTGATATTCTTGATGATCTTCAACCACTTTGTCATGTTGCGGATTTGTAAATTCCTGAACATGAGTTTGTTGGCTCCGGTGGAAGGTGTTGTTGTGCAAAAACACAAGTGATTCGCCACCATGGATTATGTCTGCCACCAAGTGGTCTTTCGCCGTGGTTTCTCCATGAAAATACCTTTCATTATCATGCACTTCTTCTTCCTCCTCCTCCGCCTCCTCCCCATCCTCATCCGAATACAAGCTGTAATCATACTCAGTCTGAGTTCTGCACCAAAAACAAAAACAAAAACAATCAGAAACAAATTCATTACAAAAAAAAAAAAAAAAAAGAATTTATAACACAATTAACATAAAAATGTAGTTTAGACCTTTGAATTAAAGGGTAACTGCCAGAAAGTGAAAGAACTTAGCGAGTGAAACGGATGAGTAGAATATGAAGAGGAGGAGGAGAAAGGAGAGGCTGGAGACATTGTAGAAGAAACTAGCAAGAGTTTCTTTAGAACATTGCATTTTTTTTTTTGGTTGGGTGGTTGCTAGCTGCAAAGTGAGTTGCAAATAATTTCTAATGCAAAGCAAAGTGTGAAGTCCTGGAAAGAAATTAAAGGTGTTTGCTTTGATTGCTATCTTCACAAATCTTTCTAATTAATTTACCCTAAATTAATTATCCATTTCTCTTTCTGAAATGTCCTATATGTCCTCTAAAATAGGTATATAACTTAACCCTCATGCTTCATTCGATTGGCGGTGACAAGGGTAAATTTGTCAACGAATCATTGTTTTATTTTCTCGAGTCTTATATGAGACGAATGTTATGTGGTTTGTGTTAAATAAATGAAGAACAAAGTAATAAACTTAGTGACATTCTATTTTATCTATCTTAATAAAATTATGATAAATCTAATTAGTGACATTCTTTACTAATAAATCTAATTAGTGTTTGAAAACAAATATTTAATTCATAATCACATAGAGTATACATATTCATTTATTTTTGCAACTCTAACTTAATAAAATTATGAAAAATGAATCCTTAGTAATATTTATTAATTATAGGTAATTTTTGTGCTTAGGTATACACTCTAAATGTTTTCTCTAAATAAAACAATCAATTCTTAATCTATCCTTATATCTTTATTAAATTAAATGGGATTAATGTAAGAAGTACTCATATATATATATGAGTAATGCTACAGTTACCGATGGGTGTGCACCGAATTTGTGCACCAAGACGTGGTTAAATCTTGACCGTTGATTTATTATCAGTTAATATTAATCAACAGCCAGGATTTTGTCACATCATTCGGTGCACAAATTCAGTGTTAACTTTTTGGTAACTCTATCATTTTCCATATATATCATAACTTTGAAAAAAATAATCCTTTGTTTCAATCAAACATTATTGTTGATACCAAAGTCTACATCAGTTAGGAGATGAGAGTTTTGGTTACTTTATATATATATCATAACTTTTAAAAAAAGAAAATCTCTTATTTCAATCAAACATTATTGTCGATTTCAAAGTCTCACATTGGTTAGGAGACAAGAGTCTTGGTTGCTTATGTAGCACAATGACACCTTTATTGTCTGGAGAAGTCTTTTTTGGACAAAACAGTATGGGCCTTACGTAGACACATAGTCACATACAATTATGCGGGTTCAACTGAACCCACTCAACTTTTTAAGAAAATAAAAAAAAAAAAAATTATGTTTTAAGAAATTTATAATTTTAACCCCACTTAAATTCATTTTGACCCCACGAAAATGAATAATTAATTAATACTTTTTTAACTTTTCTCTCTTCATCATTTTCTTTCATTTTCTCTCATATTAATTTTTTATATACATTGATTGAATACTCAAGAAAGACTACTCCTTTGGATTACAAGGTAAGATGATGCTTAATTTTTTTTTTTTTTTTTTAAGTTAAAATCCTTATATTTTAGCTTTCTTAATTGATGAAAGATTATAAGCTATGAGTTTTTGTTAAATTTAATAAATGAGTTTGAAACTGGAAGATTAAATTCCTTGATTTTGATGTGAGTTTTGATTTAATCTTGTTTATGTTGAGGTATATATAAGTTAATTATTTATTGTTTTAAGTTGGGTTTGATAAATTTTGATTAGTTATTGAGTTAATTTTGATTGGTTTAAAGAATTGATGAAATATTAAGTTGTAGAGATTTTGGGATTTGGTTTAATTTTGATATATATATAGGTTAAAGACTTGATATTTAAAGCTGGATTGATGAGTTTTCATGGGTTTATAAGTTGGATTTTATTAGGTTAGTAGAAATTGTTTGAAAAACTTAAGTTATAAGATTTGGGGTATCCGTTTATCAACTTAGATATTTTGACCCCACTGAATAAAAATCTTGGCTACGTCCATGGCCCTAGGGTCCAAAACGAACAATACCTCTGAGAATCCACATACCATGTAACCACTCCCAAGCCCCTTGCCCCCTAGGGGCTGTGTTGGTGTCAAAGTCTCACATTGGTTTGGAGATGAGAGCCCTGGTCACTTATATAGTACAAGGACACCCTCACGACCCAAAAGACGGCTTTTCAAGACAAAATTGTGCATGCCTTAGGGTCCAAAACAGACAATGCCTCTAGAAACCCACCTACTATGTGTCTAGATCCAGCATACATCAACAATTACAAATAAAGATATCTTTAAATATTTGTAATAAACTTAAAAATTTTAATAGTATTAAAATATTCCAAAAATAATTATTTTAATATGTTTCTTAAATCTAGTTAGCTTATGAGAAGATCGGATTTTAGAGGTCAAAAAATAAGAGCTGGGTTTTCTTTTTACATGTGCTATACTGTGCATATAAAACAAATTAAAGGTATAGGAATAATTTGGAATACTCTTTTGCATTAAAGTATGGAAATCGTGTAACATACTGAGAAAATAAACCTTAATTTATAAACAAAAAGCTGCCTCTCCTCTATCCTATTTCTCCAAATTAAATAAATAATCCATAAACAAATAAACAAAAATCAAAAGAAGACACCTAAACCTCGCCACACGCATCCATGATCCATCTCTGACTAACTTTTACTTTCTATAAACGAATTATTAATAAAATTTTTTCAAAAAGATTATTCATTATTCAGACCTTATATTATAATAAATTAATAACCTTATTTCCGTATGCAAATTTGGGGAATTAATTACACATAATTAAGTTCTTCTATCAACATTAATCCATATCAATAACATAAATTCGGTTACTCATATTAATTCAGATTTTTCACACACATATTTAATATAATTATTAATCTAATACTTTGTATCATAAATCTAACGTCCAGTATTATGAATTTATTTCACATATTATAAATATTTATGTCGAATATTATGAATTAGTTGTGGTTAGTTCAATTGAGAGAGTTGGCAGGTCGATGGTACTTTGCCGCTTAATGAAATAAAGAGTCTTTCTAAAAGCTGATTGAATTGTGGGGCTTCTCTTAGAATTTTTATTTTTATTTGTTTGATTTTTTTGGGGTGTGTTTTTCAATACTTATATCAAATTAAATTGAGGCGCCTCCTCGTCAGTAGCTGCCTTCAACCCCCTCCTCAGCGCGTCGCTTATTCGTTTTACCCTCTTAATACAATCCACATACATGAAATTGATAAGGAAAATTCAAATTATTTAATTTGTTATATTAATCATTAAAAAATTAAAATTATATTCATATGATAAAAAGAAAAAAAACATATTTTAACATCTTTTATCTAATTTTGTCACAATTTTAGTTAAATTTAGACTTATTTTTATATTTTTTAGTTTGCATATGTATAAGATTATTACTATGACATATACTATAGTAATTTAAATGATTATCTAATAGAATTGTTTTTTTTTCCATATTGTAACCAAAATAAAGAGAGTTGGAATTTAGCAAGAATGTTAGTAAGAGAAAAGTAAAATATTTTGTTTTGTGGTATCTTCATGAGACAAAATAAAAATAAAACATACTTGAGTTGATTGGAACAAATCAATACCTATTTGATCTAATTAAGAGGTTGAGACATGTTTTAATTTAATAAAATAAAAAATTTCAAATAATTTTATAATTTAATAAATCATATATATATAAATGTTTTTTTATAATTCTTACTTTAATATTCTTGAAAGGAGTTCAGAAAATGCTCAGCTACCCTAAAATTTTCTTGTACGAATTTGGGCCTGAATTTAGTGATTTCAATTATCAACTATCAAGGCCCAATCCATAATTTTATGTTTTATTTTAAGCAATTTTCGATCCCAAATCTGATTAATATTCTTTTTTAATATGTGTATGTATATTCACATGCATAAAATTCAGATAATAAAATACAAATTGGATTCTCTATTATAACTTATTATTTACAAAAATAAAATACTTAGACAATTGTTAAATCAATAAAAGAGGTTTCAACACATTATATTATATATATTTTTTTTTTTTTTTTATGACAGATGGTGTTTGGATTAGCTTACTTGCATCTCAAATAATTCTTTGGAACCTCTGAAATTATAATCAGATAAAAACTCCAATAACTACCTTTATTAGCAACCGAGGAAGACTTGAAATCATGACCTCTGAATAATCTAAGATGTTTCTATTGAAACCATTTAATCATTCAAGATTATTAATTAAAGTCAATATTAACAAAGTGATAGTATATAAATAGTTTTTGATTCTTAAAGTATAAATAAAAAAAAAAAAAAAAAGATTATTACATCATTCTTGCAATTGGAATTGGAATGTCCCTACTTCAAATGGTGAAGCTTCAGCTTCTCTGTGAAACACTGAAAATGAACAATATATAAAACAATAATCTTCCAACTGTAAGGAATCAGATCGAGAATCTAAAGAATCAATGAAAGTGACTGCCAAGAGAAATGATCTGATCTATCACATCGCATATAGAATGAAAACTTATACCTTCTACAGAGTCTACATACACCTTATAGGGGAATTTTTTTTTTCATTTATTTTGATGTAATTTATTCCCAAACGAAGTGGGTCACCCTCTTTTTATTCCACTGCATGAGTGTAGCAGCTTTGCTTCTCTTCTTTCTCTTCTTTAATTAAAGGTAAACCCTAATACAAAAATATAATAAAGCATCTATTAAAGCAAACTAAAGCTACCTTTGTCTCCATCTTCGTGTTCTTTGCTTTGTCCTCCTCTTCACTTTCATTGTTCATCCTCAAACCCTACACCCACACATCTTTTCTCTTTCATCGATCGATATCTCCAAATTCCAGTCACTCACGTAGCCACTTTGATTTGTAGGCCCCTCTCTTATATATTTCCACAAAGAAGAAAAAAGTCGAAGACGGGATAGACATATGAACACAGTCTTATAGATGACGCGATAAGTCTTGTTATTTTTTATGTATATACCGTATATACAAAAAAAAAAAGTGTTAGGTGCTTAGGATATTCAATATATCGAGAAATGCACGTTCATGGTCTAGTCATCAAGCAATATTTGTATGTGTTAAAAGTGGGTCAATGTGCTGGGAAGAAAAGTGGAGAGGAATCTCTTTGTAATTTGCCTTCCATACACTCACTTTGCTCATCTTCTCTTCACACCAATGAACTGTTCTTCACTTAAATATTCATCTCAAAACCCTAGACACCACTTTCAGTCTATTAAAAACATCAAATCTCCACCTCTTCATCCACCGCAGCTTCCTCTTCCTAGGCATTTACGGACCGCCGCAGATTTTCAGCTTCGTCTTCTTCTGCTCATCGTCAATAAAATTAGAAAATAATTGAATGTAGAATGTTAATTTAAGGTTTATTAAATCATTAGAACAATTTAATATAAGTACTTACTTTATTGATCTTTCTCATGAGTTGAAGAAGAGTTGGATCAACTGAGCCTCTTGATTCTGCCAAAGAATGACTTGAGAATTTGACAGGCTTTCACTTTATCCGCCTTGAGAAAAATCATGAACGTCTGATTCCTTCTTCCATTATTATATAAATGCAGGCGATGAAATTCTGAGGGCAAAACCTTCATCCTTATTGATCGTCTTCAGAATCTTCAAACATAAAATTAAAAAACCATTACTTTAAAATTCAGTACAAACAATAAAATAATTTTAATAAAAGAACAAAAAGTACCTCGATATTCCGGACAGAAGTAACTTTGGAGCCAAAAGCTCATCCTAGCATAACCTCAGTCTCGTCCGTTCATAGGTAGTCTGTTTCTATGTATCGCTGCAAAAGAACTGAAATTGCTGAAACTGCTGCGCAATGTGGGCGGGACAACCCGGGTCAAAGTCTCGCGTGAAGCTCTCTTGCTTGAAAGTTCTTATAGTTCCAATTTAGAGCTCCCACGTCAGGCAAATCTGAGCTACATAGCAGCTTCCAGTTCATGATATGGGTTTGACGTATGTTTGATGGCTTCTTGTTTATTGTTGCAAAAATTTTGAACAATCCTTCCGAAATTGACCTTGGACAAGACTTGGATAGATCTCAGGGACCTGAGAAAATGTGAAAATAATTTAGATTTTGGAAAAACACTCAAGAAAATACATTTTGTATAAGAAGGTTTGTTGTAAACTGTTGCCAAAAAAACCTTTTTCACGTATTTACAACCAAATTAACTATACTAAAACTCGCGTTGCAAAAGATATGTAACAGAAATTTTAACCTGTTTCATGGAGCTTTTGTGCGCTAACTCTGGCGAGGAACATCATTTCTTCTCATATTTTGAAAAACTGTGAGGACTCCCACTTGGGGCAACTCCTTCTGGAGGAAGAAGAAAATGGATCTTCTGTTCCTGAATCTCTGCAATTGATTGAGCTCCTCCATTCGATGAGCTCTTAAGTAGACCCAACAGTACACAGAGTCACCAAAGATCTCTTCATCAAATCCTTTTCTTGAACTTGAAGCTCTGGAATCCAACTGGGTTCTTGCAAAAATGACAAAATTTTCATCTCCTGGAAAGTTTTTCCTCCTTCTTGATCTCAGTTTCTGATGGAAACAAGTTTCTGCAACTGCATAAGCAATTCAGGATCGAATAAATTTATCACAAGTACAACATGGACTATCATAAAAAAACAAACAGTGATGTTCAAAAATGCTTATACCGTCACAGTTTTGGTCATTTCACAAATCACTTTTGGAAATTGGGGTGGTGGAGCCACCGTGATTTGGAACAGAATTGTACGCTGAATTAGAATCCGTTGTGGGATCTCTTCTTGTTTTCAAGCTGATCATAATCATCATCTTCATGTTCAGATTCTGAGCATGGTGATGAGTCCGAGCTGAATATTGACTACTGTCAAACTTTGATATTCTTGATGATCTTCAACCACTTTGTCATGTTGCGGATTTAAATTCCTGAACATGAGTTTGTTGGTCCGGTGGAAGGGTGTGTTGTGCAAAAACACAAGTGATTCGCCACCATGGATTATGTCTGCCACCAAGTGGTCTTTCGCCGTGGTTTCTCCATGAAAAACCTTTCATTATCATGCACTTCTTCTTCCTCCTCCTCCCCTCCTCCCCATCCTCATCCGAATACAAGCTGTAATCATACTCATCTGAGTTCTGCACCAAAAAACAAAACAAAAACATCAGAAACACAATCATAACAAAAAAAAAAAAAAAAAGGAATTATAACACAATGATACATAAAAATGTAGTTTAGACCTTTGAATTAAAGGGTAACTGCCAATGAAGTGAAAGAACTTGCGAGCGAAACGGATGAGTAGAATATGAAGAGAAGGAGGAGAAAGGAGAGGCTGGGACATTGTAGAAGAAACTAGAAGAGTTTCTTTAGAACATTGCATTTTTTTTTTGGTTGGGTGGTTGATGCTGCAAAGTGAGTTGCAATAATTTCTAATGCAAAGCAAAGTGTGAAGTCCTGGAAAGAAATTAAAGGTGTTTGCTTTGGTTGCTTTCTTCACAAATCTTCAATTAATTACCCTAAATTAATTATCATTTCTCTTTCTGAAATGTCCTATATGTCCTCTAAAATAGGTATATAACTTAACCCTCAAGCTTCATTCGATTGGCGTGACAAGGGTAAATTTGTCAACGAATCATTGTTTTATTTTCTCGAGTCTTATATGAGACGAATGTATGTGGTTTGTGTTAATATAGTTAAAAATGAAAAACAAAGTAATAAACTTAGGGGGTTTGGTTGGCGGTAATGTCAGATTATGGGATAATGTCATCTGATATTACTTGATTACCCGTTTGGTGTCAAGTAATATAAGATTCCGGTAATCTTCAAATACTAATAGTAACTACTATTGGTAATATTGGAGGTAATCTGATTACCTCCATTTTCTTAGGTATTCTGGATTACAGGGTTATCCTTTTTGTTACAATTTATCTCCTTATAATGAAAATTTTGGACAATAATGCCTCATTTTAAAATAAATTTACATTAATATCCTATTTCAATTTTACCCTATTAACTAAAATTTTGGACAATAATGTCCTTGAATTTAAAACAATTTACAAACCACTGCCACTCAGACACCACCACTCCACCCAGCACCACCGCCTACAGCGGCCAACACACCACGGACCGCCTTGAAAAACTCGTTGGAGTCCCTAAAAAAGAACGAGTTTCGGTGGGAGGTCCGGGGAGTCATCGCTATGGCGTTTTCGGCCATATTGATGGCCGAAAACGGCCATATCTGGGCGAGATCTGGCCATTAACGGCAGGTCCATGGCGTGTAACGACCAGATCTCGCCCAGATCTGGTCGATAATGGCGAGGGATCTGGCCATTTCCGGCCAGATGGCCTGATATGGTGCGTTGGCCAATATGGCCGAAAACGGATATCGAAGCCTCTTGGTCACGGTGAGTTACTGATGGGGACTTTCGGAGACTTCCGGCTGTGGTTTGCGGTGGCGGCAGGCGGCGGGTAGGAGGCAGGGGTGATTTCGTAATAAATTAAAGTTTTATATAAGCAGGGGTGTTTAACTAAATCTGAAATATTGGGGGTTAAAAGAATTATTCAAAAATTAATAATAAAAATAATATTATATAATATTTGTAAAGGGGACAATTTAGTAATTTTAATATACCCACAATTTATTTCCCATAACCAACATATTAATATAACATACCCACCAACTAATCAAAACATTTTCTTAAAGATTCCCAGTAATCTTTCAAGGTAATCTATCTTTCCAGTAATCAACATTCCCAGTAATAACATTCCTGAACCAAACGCCCCCTTAGGACATTCTATTTTATCTAGATTGATTCTTTACTAAAAATCTAATTAGCGTTTAAAAACAAATTTAATTCAATCACATAGGATAAATGATTCATTATTTTTGAACTCAAACCTAATTTTCTGTAGTGATAATTATGTTTATATCATTTAAATTTTATTAATCCCGAAAGTTAAGGGCCCCTATGTCTTAAAACAGAAGGTTGGGGTACATAAGTGAGATTAACCTTTTTTTTTTTTTTTAAATTAATGGGTCATTTTCAAATTTCCACGGCTAATAGAGAGCGTGGAATCACGGCATGTGAAAGAGAGTGGGAGGGAATAGGGGAAATGGGGATGGAGCACAGGCTGACTTGAGTAGAGAGAGTTCGTATAAAGTAACTGTGTGTTGTCGTGTTGTTTAACGACAGACAAATCATTTACGTATATTGATTGCTGCTGTTTCTATCCTTTGCATATTATATCACCTAAAATTGCGGATCTTGTAGTGGTGCTTCAATCCTATGTAATATTAATACAATATACATAACAATGAAAATTTATAAGGATAAATCTCAAATTATTTGATTTTGTATATATTTAATCATTAAAAAAATTAAATTTAGATTCATATGTTAAAAAGAAAAAAAAAAACATATTTAAACATATTTCTATCTAATTTTGTCACACATTTTAGTTAAATTTAGACATATTTTTATTCTTTTAGTTTGTATAAGTATATTAGATTATTTTGTTTCATATTTAAGAAATTTGAGGTCGTTATCGCTCTTCCATACACACACATAACAACAACAACAATAATAAAAATAATAATAAAATCAGTATACTCTTAAGACAATACCACTTAATATCAATACATTTGTTTAAACAATTATTTTATATATATATATATATATATACACACACATTGTATCAACCTATATAAAGACATTGTTGTGTATTGTATGTACATCTTTGAAATACAATATTCATACATTCATAATCATAGATATTTTATTTTTTATTTTTTATTTTTATTACTGTGACATTATAATATAATAATTTAAATGATTTATCTAACAGAATTGTTTTTTTAACCAAAATAAAGAGAGTTGGACTTTAGCAAGAATGTTAGTAAGAGAAAAGTAAAATATTTTGTTCTTGTGGTATCTTAATGAGACAAAATAAAAATAAAACATACTAGAGTTGATTGGAACAAATCAATACCTATTTGATCTAATTAAGAGGTTGAGCAATGTTTTAATTTAATAAAATAAAAAAATAAAAAAAAATTTATAATTTAATAAATCATATATATAATAAATTGTTTTTATAATTCTCTACTTTAATATTCTTGAAAGGAGTTCAAGAAAATGCTAAGNGGCAGGTCGATGGTACTTTGCCGCTTAATGAAATAAAGAGTCTTTCTAAAAGCTGATTGAATTGTGGGGCTTCTCTTAGAATTTTTATTTTTATTATTATTATTATTTTTGTCCTTAACTTGTCCATTAAGTATATATTTATTTTATGCTGTCTGCTCAGGATTTGTTACTTATGACAAATATTCTTTATTATAAATTTATAGGCCAAAGGACTTATACCTACCCAAGGTTTGGCAAAATAACAGTTTGGTATCCAAAAGGTTTTAAAAAGACAAACAGATACCTTCAGTTAGTGAAAAGACTAGAATGCCCTTTAAGAAATATTAGTATATTTTTTTAATTACTTTTAAACCCCTTAAGTTTATTAATTCCATCAAATACCCCCAGAAAAAAAGTTTGAAAATTAACAAAAACACTCTCACCCACCCATACTTGTCAGATTCCGGCCATCACCGCCGGTGGTAGCCGGAATCTGTCACAACTGTCTACGCCACCACTGTAAATGGCCGGTAATTCACCGATCTGGCCTTTTCTGACCAGATCCATCACGGATATGAACAAAAAAGGCCAGATCTGACGTGAAAATGCCAGATCTGGCCAGAAAGTGACGGCTAAAGAAATGGCCGTTGTTGACTGTCAACGACGGCCAAATCTTGGCCATCGTTGACAGACAACAATGGCCACATCTTTGGTCATCGCTGACGGCCAAAGATAGAGTGTTGCGGCCGTCGACGGCCATATTCATGGTGGATCTTGCCAGAAAAGGCCAGGTCAGTGAATTACCGGCCATTTCCGGTGGTGGAGTAGATCGTTGTGACAAATTCAGGCTACCACCGGCGGTGACCGTCGGAATCTGGCAAGTATGGGTGGGTGGGGGTGTTTTTGTTAATTTTTAAACTTTTTTTTAGGGGTATTTGATGGAATTAATAAACTTAAGGGATCTAAAAGTAATTAAAAAAATAGACTAATATTTCTCAAAGGGTATTCTAGTCTTTTCAATAACGGAAGGTATCTGTTTGTCTTTTTGAAACCTTTTGGATACCAATCATCGTTTCGCCCAACCTTGGGTAGGTGTAAGTCGTTTCCCTAAATTTATATTATATAAGTGTGACGGCAACCCATTTGCATGAATATAAAGTGAGAGCTGGTGGCTTAATTATTAATTATCTAAAATATTTAATTCGGATTCCAATTGGATCATTAAATCTCTTGATGATTCAAAAGTAAATAATTATTAGAAAGATTTAATATAGTTTCATTAAATATTCCAATTTATTTAATAAAACTAATTAAATATAGTCAAATTTCGTCACTGCCTTGCCTAGTTCTTGATCATACTTAAGTGTGGCCCATGGTCCGGTGGTCCCTCTAGGTGGGCTTAGACAATTATAGCCCATGTTCTTTTTAGCATCCAAAGATGTTCAAATAAGATGATTTTTATCTATAATTTATGAGTTTGATGATTTTTATCATAATTTTTGAGTTTATTTCACACACCTTTTGTGGGATCGTTTAATATTATCACGTCCAAAGTTTTCGGAAATATTAAAAACATTTTATAAGTATTAACAAATCCCCCTATGAGGGTTTTTTTTTTAAAATAATTTAGGAGTATTTAACGATCATAGGGGGGGTTTTTTTAGTGGTTTTCAAACTTAAACAATCGCACAAGGGTATAT